TTTTGACGAAAGAGATATTGGAGACGTGTGATACATTAATAGTTGGAGAGGGTCTCATATTTCTACTGCATGTAGGTTTTCAATTCAACTAATGCGGCTATGGCTTCATTGAGTGAGTAAAGTTACTACTACGTAGACCTATGACGGATAACATCTTATAATCATTGATGAACAAGATGAGAAGTGCAAAGGGTAGAAGAGACCCCTCAGATTCCTCAGCCAGAGCAGGTAAATGATGCGTCACAAATTGATTGTTTACTATTCAAATTTTTCACTCCCTAATCCCTATGTAGACCTTTACATGTCCGTTTCATATATATGGAACTTTGTCACTCGTTGAATAATTACAACTAGCAAAATTAATCTGCTAAGAAACCATATCATCAGAAATCGAACTACAAAAATATTCTATTATTAATCAATTATATATATTTAACTCATAATTTTTAAATTAATTTTTATAAATATAATAATATGAAAAATATTTTATACTATCAATATAGTTTAATTATAATCATATAAATGTGGATAACAAAAATTGTCAAAGAAAATAGAGTTGGGATACAAAGACAGAGAAATAAGAGCATGCTGTTCAACCTATCTGGATCTGCTGAGTTCACCGCGGGTCGTTCTTCCAACTTCTAGCTTTGACTTCGGTGACTTGGCATGTGACCATTGACCAATGACAAAAGATATCTTATGTCATATCATTATTATATCTACTATTTTTCTCTTTTATTATTATTTTTACATGTAATGCATTTAGAAACATATTCCAATTAAACACTTATTCAATTTTTTTTAAAAAAAGTTTATAAATTATTTTTAATCATAAAACTTATTAAAATATATTTATTTAATGGTTTATAATAAAATATTTTAAAAAACAATACAAATTATGTTATTTTTATACACAGCTTATACGCTCTTCAAAGCAGGCCATCGACACTTTTATATTTGCTTTTAAATATAACAGAATCATAGACTAGTAGTTCTTATTGTGATATCATTTCATTTTTATGTCATTGTTATTGTCGTTTTTACGTACAATACTCGTCTTGTTTCAAGAACTACAACCTTCCTCAAAGTTTATGTGGTGATAGCATTAGCCTCATAGTATTAAGATATCGTTTTCAAAAATGACTGATTAAGTGCTTGATTGAAACTGATCGAATTTTTTTTTTTCCAAAATTATATTAGAACGAAGCTTTTTTTCCTTTTTCTGTTAATATTGCCCCTCCCTTTAGGATAACCAGCTCAGTAGTTCATCACCACAGTCTAAGAATAATAATAGGTAGGATTTAAATAGAGTAAGGTAAAACTCATATTCATATCTATGTGAATAAAAACTTTAATGCTCATAAAGAAAATAGTCAGATAATTTATTGCCTAAATGGAAGGGGAAAGTGATTCTAACCTAAGAGGATAGAATGGAGAAATCAACTCTAAAAAATATCGTTGGCTACTATATATATTATAGAGGTGGTCATACAAAATGAGAGTTGGATGTAATTAACTTAAATTTCAATAAATTTAATTTAAGTCTCCTTCCATTCTGAAACGTTTGTTATTTTATAGTATTACACAAAATTAAGAAAATTAACAATGAACTTAAAACCATAAAAAATAATTGTAAAATCGAATTACTTTTTAAATAATACATTATTAATAATTCATAAAATAAAAATTTACAACTATCAGGACAATAACTATCAAACATTGAAGTAAAAAAGAGAGGATAAAATCCTTTAAAATAATAAAAAATTTTGTTAATATTTTAAAATGATAAATAGCATACAAAAATCATAGGTAACAATTAGTTTAAAAGGAAAGTAATAATTAAAAGTTATGTCCATAAGAACAACAATAATTGCAGCGTGGCGAGTAGGCCCATTTATAAATACGGATCTACCCGTCAATGTTGACCCAGGAAAAATGGAAATAAATTTAAAATATTTAATCAATTTTGGAGGAATCAAAAGTAAAATACTCGGAATCCACACGCCAATTCGCTTTCGCTCCGTCCAATTTCAATAATTCATTGACTTGCTTCACAGTTGACTTTCAAAAAATTGTGTAATACAAATTTAGGCAAATTATATTTGATATTTTTTTATTAATTTTACACGATTCATTCTTAATTTTTGTAATATAATAATATAACATAGTATACCCTTTCTATCGATACAAATCTTTCATAAATTGGTATACTGTGCTATACTGAAATAGAACATTGCAATGATATATTAGAAGTATATAGTAAAAATATTTTTTCTTTAACCATTTAAATAAGAATAATATATTATAATTTAGTATCTGATCACTTCAATAGTAAGTGAGGGAGAGTTGTTAAGTTTAGGCTTGTGTAGCTCATTTATTTAAAATATTTTATACAATTTAAAAAAAAAATCTCTTTCGAATGACTTTAAAATATTGCTACATAGAACGACTTTTCTAGTTAAAAAAAATTGAAAATCCTTCAAATTCAAAAATTAAATGAATCTTAATTTATATATATCTTTCGAAGAAAAATCTCTTAGGGTGATAAAATGAGAAGTTGCATAATCATACGGAATAGTATACCACAAAGTCCGTAATGAAATTCTCCTACGACTGATGAAAGGTCAAGCGCAGTACTCTATTAATCTCGTCACTTGGCTTTAAAATTTAAATGGCTTTTAAACCATTTTAATGATCTGTAAAATATGTTCAAAGTAAATAATCCAAATGAGATAAATTATGTCATCCATGTATAGGCACTAATCTTATAATTAGGGGTCAAATGTATTCGTTTAATTCATGAGCTGATGATTAAAAAAAACACTAAACTACTTGGCTTTATGTGTTAATGATAATGTGAGAAAGATTAAAAGTGAATATAGAAATATTAATTAAATAACTGCTTAAAAAGGGCATTGTTTAAATGATTTTAACAGTGATGAGAAAAATATTAGAATAAATTAACATTACCTCTTATAATTTTTTAAAAGTGAAAGGTTGAATAAGAAACAATTTAAAAATAATGAAAAGGATAAGAAAAATTAATATAATTGGTAGTCATAATATGAAAGTTATAACAATTGGAAGAAAAAATAAATAACTAATTAATATTAAAGATTTTGTTTGAATAATTTAGAGTATTTAAAGCAAAATGAGAATCAAATTACCGTAAGAATATTTAATTTTATAAATATTAAAATTTATAATCCATTTTTAATAATCTAACCTTCGTATGCTTTTATTGTTTTTTAATATACTAACTTATTACAAATTAAGATCTTAAACACATTCACATTAGGTAGATCAAATTATAACTCTGTCGTTTAAGTTTATTCAAATTCTTAATTAACAACAATTATAATCATACATTCAATTGTCCTATTATTTAAAAATAATAAATTAAAAAATATTACGTTAAAATTTAACTTTATTTTGTATTAATTGACACATAATAAATATTTTTAATATTAAAGATAGCATCCTTTTAAATACAACAACACAATAATATAAATACATGATTACTAACTTGATTAATTAATTTTTTATTATAATAAAACATTATATTAAATTAATATATAATTTTAATCAAATATTCTTAAAATGATTCACGCACTTAATTATTTTTATCCACATAAAGATAAGATAATACAATGTTAGGGAATTGAATTAAAAAAAGGAAAATTTAATAAAAAAATAATATTTCCTTTATTTTTCTTTCAATTCAAATTCTTTTTTTCTCTCTCTCTCGTTTTCTTTCCACTAAGGTAAGTGTAACTTGTAAGATGTCAAACAAGTAATGTCTAAAACATGATACATTTATGCGACACAAATTGTCTCATCTTGACCTTGTTTTGTGTAGATGATAATCAATGACTACGATGTTTTTCATATATAAAATACTGTTTATATATATAACATTGTTATATCTTATTCGGTAGCAGTGGTAAAAGTCATATTATATTAACTCTTTTCAATTATGAAGGGAAATAGTTCAAAAGTAAAATTTTTGAAATTATGATTAAAGGGAATAATTAAATTAAATTATATTAATAATATTATTTTTTATGATATCAATAATATAAATTATTGTTTTTTAGAAAATATAGACATTTATCATAAATATTTTTTTTAAAACTCTATATCCAACAATTTATTATTTTAAATGTGAAATAAATTATTAGATATAAATTCATACTTTTTAAAAATAAATTTATTAGGGAAAAGTGATATTTTTAGACAATATAATTAACATAGATTATATGAATTAAATGATTTTCATATAATATATACAAACACATAACTTATTTCATTTAATTATTTATTAAAATAATATATTTTTCACAGTTAATTGTAATACACAATTTCTTAAAAGGATGTATTTTCTTATGAAGTTAATCTGTAAGTATTTTAATTTTTGAAGAATTTTGAATAAGTATTAAAAAATATGATTTTATTAACTTTGATTGTAATCCTTTCTTCATATTTTAATCCAAATACGATGAAAGGATTAATTAAAAAATTAAAACCTAGTTACAAGGTTTTAGGATATGATTTTATTAGCTTTAACTCTAAGATATAGATTTAAACAATTATCAATAATACATTTTCATTTTAATTTTTTTATAACATTTTATATTTTGAATATAGTAAATATTTTAATTTTATTAATTACTTAAATATATTCCTAAAAATTGAAAATAATACAATTAGTTTTAACTGTCGAATTATTTGAACTTAATTTTTATGCACTCACCTTTTTACCTGCAGTCTCTTATTATTATGGTGTGCATTTCATTTCTCTTGTTTTAAATTGTTTCTTTTTTTAACCTTTTTGACAAATAATTGTTTTTGAAAGTATTACGATGATCGAAAGGGCTTATTAAAGATTTAGCGACAGCACTTTTTTGTCGCTTTGTGAGTGGGGGCCACCACGAGGCCAATTTGCATTCACCACTTCTACACGGAGAGAGTATTTTTGAAAAAATAAAAATGAAAAGTGGAATAGGTGAGCGAAAGAGAGAGTTGAATTGAGGGGTTCTTCACGTCTACGATGTGGGACTCCGCGGTCCAAGGTGATGGAAGCCTTCAGTCTATATAAGCACGCTATCCCAACCTTACACTCTGCACCTCATGCCACCACTATTTCTCCTCTCTTCTCTCTTAACTGATCATTGTACTTTATCACCCAAAAATTAAGTGGATGTTAGAAATTTAGCCAACCTTTCTCTGCTCTCTCTCTCTCTCACACACAAAATTTCCCACTAAGTGAAGAAAATGACTGAGAACAAGGCAGTGGAAGCTCATAAAACTCTTGAGGATTTCGATCCTCAAAAGAAGCCCAAAAGGAATAAGTTCGCTTTTGCTTGTGCTATGTTGGCCTCCATGACTTCCATCTTGCTTGGCTATGGTGAGTAAAATTAATATATTGTCTGTCATATACCCCACACACCTACACATTTATGCATGTAGTAGTAACCCTTCTTTCCTAGCTATTCCGTAATTTTGCCTTGCTTTCCGCACTAAGTCTTTATTACACAGTTTTTTGGGCTTTACTTCTTGTCTTTTTCACTACTATTTCTCTATAGAGATAACATAAAGTTCTGCGGACGGAAACTGCTCTAGTGTTTGCTGATAATCCCAACACGTATCCCGTTTGGGGCGAACACTTCTATCATGTCAATTACAAAAAAATTAATTTTATACATAATTTTTTTCTATTTTACACATACATGTATATATATAATTTAAAATATAAAAAATACCTAAAAGTATTATTCTTGATATGCAAAAAGTACGAAAAGATTCTAATATTTTGTTTGAATAAGAAAAAAAATATGAAAAATAAATACGGATCATAACGTTCTTATGTTTAATTAAAGAAAAGATAAGACCAATGATACTTTACACGTAGGACAAAATTATTTAGCAGCAAAAGTAGACGATATTCAAGTGTAGCATGAATTCCAACACTTATATATAAAGCCATTTTTTTTTATGTGTGATTCACACATGTTACAAGATTAATAAATAATATTTTTATTAAAATTTATTATATTTAATATTATTGATATATTAAATTCAATGATATTCTATAATTTTAATAAATTAGTATATATAAATTTTTATTGTGTTTATGATACAAATAAAATTAGTTATTGATTAACAATAATGAGGTTAATCATTGAACACTTATGTAAAAAAAAAACCAATTTTATTCAAAATATTTAAATATCATAAATGTTTAATATAGTTTTTCATAAAAAAAATGTTATTTATTTATTTAGTTTACAATTTTAACAATTTCAATGCTTAATACTGAATTGAACATTTGAAATTAACAATTTTTTTATTATATTTCTATTTTCCAAGTAATATATATTTTAAGATTATTATTTTTTAATTTTCTTATGATATATTTAGACACACTTGAAAAAAAAATGGTAAAATAAATGACTAAGTTGTTATGTGTCCACGTTACAACAGATATTGGCGTGATGAGTGGAGCTGCCATCTACATACAGAGAGACCTGAAAGTATCTGACGTGCAAATCGAGATTCTGCTCGGAATCATCAACCTCTACTCTCTCATAGGTTCATGCCTGGCCGGCAGAACCTCCGATTGGATAGGTCGCCGTTACACCATTGTCTTCGCCGGCGCCATATTCTTCGCCGGAGCCTTACTCATGGGCTTCTCCCCCAACTATGCCTTTCTCATGTTCGGCCGTTTCGTCGCCGGTGTTGGCATCGGCTACGCCCTCATGATTGCCCCCGTCTACACCGCCGAAGTGTCCCCCGCTTCGTCTCGTGGCTTCCTCACTTCCTTCCCCGAGGTATTTCAATTTCTTATTTTATATTATTTTCTTAAAGTTGATTCTAACTAATTTCAGTGAAATTGGATAAACTTTATTTTATTTTGGATTTAAAGAATGTTAAGAACGCTGTTCCCAATTTATGTACAATTTTTCAATTCGAATTTATGGCAATTAACTATGATAATATATTTTTGTTAAATAATAAAATATTATATTTTAAATTAAATTTTTATAATTTTAAATTTTTTATATAAATATACATAATTATTGTATTAAAATTATAAAAATATAATAAATACTTTTTTGAATAAAATTTTACTATTATTTTAGACTGAGTTTAACAAAAATTAACCTATTTTTAATATTTACTTTAGATAATGTGAAAGATATAATTTTTAACATGTTTTTTTGTTAAATTATAAAAATACGTGAAAGAAAATGGCGTTTTTGGTATTAATGAAAGGAAAATGATTGGTGAAGAGAGTTTTGGTTGGTATTTATTATTAGGACATGATTTTGCAGGTTTTTATCAATGGAGGGATATTACTGGGATACATATCGAACTATGCGTTTTCGAAGATGAAACTTCGCTTGGGTTGGCGAATGATGCTTGGAATCGGCGCAATTCCATCTGTAATTCTGGCGGTGGGTGTGTTGGCCATGCCGGAGTCCCCACGATGGCTTGTGATGAGGGGTCGTTTGGGAGAGGCAAAAGTAGTTCTTAACAAAACCTCAGACAGCAAGGAAGAGGCTCAGCTAAGGCTAGCCGACATCAAACAAGCCGCTGGGATCCCCGAGAGTTGCAACGACGACGTCGTTCAGGTGACTCAGCGAAGCACGGGTGAGGGTGTATGGAAGGAACTGTTCCTTTATCCAACGCCCGCAATTCGTCACATTTTAATCGCGGCGCTTGGGATTCACTTCTTTCAACAAGCGTCGGGCATAGACGCCGTCGTTTTATACAGCCCCAAGATATTCGAAAAGGCTGGGATCACGAGTGACACTGATAAGCTTCTTGCAACCGTGGCCGTTGGATTCGTTAAGACAATGTTCATCTTAGTGGCCACGTTTATGTTGGACCGTGTTGGGCGTCGTCCGTTACTATTGTCTAGTGTTGGGGGCATGGTGCTCTCGCTTCTGGCGCTTGCTACGAGCCTCACCATCATTGATCATTCGGAGAAAAAGCTTATGTGGGCCGTTGGATTGAGCATAGCGACGGTGTTATCCTACGTGGCCACTTTCTCCATTGGTGCGGGACCTATCACCTGGGTCTATAGCTCTGAGATCTTCCCGTTGAGGCTGAGGGCGCAGGGTGCGGCTGCGGGAGTTGTGGTTAATAGAGTCACAAGTGGGGTTATCTCAATGACTTTTCTGTCCCTATCCAAAGCGATTACCATTGGTGGAGCTTTCTTCCTCTTCGCGGGTATTGCGACTACTGGGTGGCTATTCTTTTACACCTTACTCCCCGAAACACGGGGGAAAACACTTGAAGAAATGGAAGGGTCTTTTGGTAAATTTAAGGGGAAATCCGACACCGCCAAGGACGTGGTTCACAATGGTAATGCGGCAGTGCCCCAAGTCCAGCTAGGGACCAATCTCCGAACTTAGAAATCGAGTTAACATATTACTGTAACTTCGTGTGTTTTTCAAATCATCATCACAAGCCACACGCATGTCGCAAAGTGACAACAACACTTTAATGCAAAAGAAAATTTCCATTGTCTTTTATATATTAATGTGTTTATGATGAATTTTAACAAGTAAACAAATAAATTTAATAGAGATTTGTAATTGAATTTTAGATTATTTTGTGGATTCTTTTAAAGTGTGTTATGAGTATAATTATTAATAACTTTGCAGTGAAAACATAAAATAAGGACATAAAGGAGTAAAAATAAAAATAATAAAGAAAAACTATAAAGATTGAAATAATGTACTGAATTGAAACTGAATTACTAAAATTGATGAAGATAAACGTACAATTTTTAAAGACAAATTAATATGGGAATAATGTTGATCTTTTAATGACCGGATTTAATTAGTGCGTACAATTTTGGTGTTTTAGAAATTTTAAATGACCGTGAGTGTTTGTGTAAAAGTTGTAATCTCTAAACTATAAAATGAAATTATAATTTATAATTTTAATTTTTTGACTATTACAAGTATATTTAAATTACAACCACCTACGTCATTTATAATTTTTATTACATGTTTTGATCTTTAGTTAACATTAACCGCTATAAGTAAATATATTAAATTTTGCAACATAAATTCATCATCTTTTGAATCGCGTGTTACTTGAACTTAATTTTTTTTATACTTGAAATACTTTAATTTCTTTTAAAATAAATTAAGCTATGTTGAGTTCATTCCTATGGATCATTTAAGCTATGTTACAGACTCACCTCTCTAGGAAGAAAAGTTGACTTTTTTGTTCAATCAAAATAATGTTTTTCTAGGCCCTTACGTTTTTTAAAAGAGATTTTTCAATTTTGCCCGTTCTTCCAAAGGCATTATCTCTTTTTCCTCAAACTATAGACTAGATTTTCTATTGAATTTACAAAAAAAGTTTTCAAACTATGGCTCTATTTACCAAATATTTGTACATTTCATGGCTAAATAGGGTTGAGAAAGATAAAGAAAATAGCTAGAAAAACTTCAATTTTTTTTTTTATCTCGTTCAACTTTCCAAGTATAATCTCTCCTATAATTTTCCTGTGCTTCTAAGTTTTTTTTTTTTTTTTTTCATTTAGAACCAACTAACCAGCTCTTTTCATGTTCTTTGCAGCATAATCACTCCTACCCTTTCTGAAGTTGGTCCATCTCTTCGACCAAATTCAAAACCTAATAACCTAAATATTATTCTAGATTTGAAAAAACTTTCTTAACAACCTTTCATCTCTTTAAACATAAACAAAGAAGGCTCAATTTCTAACAGAGAACATGTCATATTTTTAATGTTATGGCTATATGTCTATGGAGAGATCTCTTCAAGTAAAAAAATCTCTTCTTCCATCTCAACTTCTGCATGAAGTATCTTCAATTTGTCTAGACAAACTTCTTTTGTACAATTTATATGAGAACTTGAATAAGGCAATTGACTTCCTTAAATTGAATGACCATATTCCTATTTTTAGTGGTCCTTTTTAGTTTTTTTAATTATGGCTAAATATTATTTTTGAAAACAAACTTCAAAGTTCCGAATCTCAAAATATTCCTCGAAATATCAAAGAATTCTGACTTAATTTCTTGATCACCAATGTTGCTAAGAAGCATTATTTTGACACCTTTCAACAATACTTTACATTTTCCCTCAAACTTCAAAACTATTTGTTTCAATTGATTCCTTTTTCTTCTCGAACTAATGGACCCGATTGGTTCAAAAGACCTTTTACTTCTGAGACTCTAAGCTGGGAATTTATCCATCAGCTGCCAAACACTTTTCAACAATTTACCTTTTCAAATAGTCTCTTATTAGCCAAACCTAGTGGCTTGTTAATGTGGCTCAACAATTTGGTCGAAGCCAATTTAAGCCATATTTCATGCTTAAAGAGAAAAAAAGATTGAAATATGATAAAGTAAACACAAAAAAGCATTGACAAACTAAACAAGCCCTTAACTTCTTTCAATAAACATAAGCCAAACTTTCTTTTGTGGAATTTGAGTCTTTCTTCTACTTTACTAAAAAATTTCAAAATTGGTGATTATTTTACTATCAACAATTCTGTCAAAGATGCACTCTAAAGATGACATCTGCTTTCTTTGTACTGCAAAAGAAAAATTTATAGGACAAATTAAGAAGTATGCATATTTGAAAAATCCAAACTTTTGAAAAGTTCTTTAAATTTATTTATTTACCTCAAAAAATTGTAATTGCCATGGCTAAAATTGTTGAAACTTTAAAAACAAAAATGGCCAAAATAGAGAACAAATATTGAAATTAATTTCAATTAGAAAAAAATCTAAAAAAAAACTTTTTTCTAAAGTTTGTTCAAATTTTCTTTTTTACTAAATTGTGATTTCACCTTAACCTTACCAATAGTTCTCACTAAATGAGTAAATTTTTTTACCTTAAATATTTTCTTCAATAATTTAGCACCTCCTCAAAATTAAATGATGATTTCAAAATATTATTTGAATAATTAATTGAATAATTTTCATCTGAAAATTTAAGATATAAAAATCCTTACAAAATTCTCTGTTGACAAAACTTTCACAATTGAAGTTAAATGTTTGTCAAGTTTATAAGAATTTCTAACTTCTTGATTTATTTTTTAGTTTAAACAACATAACTCTTTATCCACTATGGGGATAGGAAAAATTGAGAGGAAAATGAGCTTAAAAAAAAAAGAAGCAAAAATATCTCAAAGAGTTCTTCCACAACTACTCTTCAACCATTGGTTGAAACCCTAAACTCTATACTTTCTATAATTTTTAAAATTTAAAATTTTAATTTATCGAAACATTATTACTTGATTTTAAAATTTAATTTTTTAGATAATAAATTTCTATTTATTTATTAAATTTATTCACTAACTCTCAATATGAATTAATGTGTGGGTAAATTATGATAAATCTTCATAACTTGGGTTTATGAATTTTTAACTTTATAATAATTAATTATTTATGATGAAAATGTAAAATAATTAAAAAAATTATAGAAGGTAAAAGTATAATAGAAAAAAGTAATAAATTAAAAAATAGAGTATAGTAGCATAATATTTTAATTATATTTTTTAACTACAGTATTTCGAAAACTACGAACAACTAGCGCTTTAAGTCATTCTTAAAATATTTTTTACTTAAAATTTTGTAATAATATTGTTATTTATATTTGAACTTTTTTTTTTGGTTAAAAAGACGAAAAAAACTTTTCAAAAAATAAAAGAGAGTGTAGAAAAGGATTACGCTGTATGTTGTATGTTCAATGTTTTCAACGCCGTAAAGTCACGCAATAAATAATTATATATAATAAATTTTTATTAAAAATTATAAGATATCATAAATCAACGTATTAATGATATTAAATTATATAATTTTTTAACACGTGCTCTTTAAATCTATATTAAAAAAGTTATTTTATATGGATAGAAGTTTTTTTTTTTTTTTTTTTGTGAATATCAAAAGTATTCGCTAACTAACAGTTAGAAACTAATTAATTAAAGGTAATGAAAACAAATTATAAAAATACGTGTTGTCTCTCTCAATATTTTTCTTGTTTTTTCTTGGATAAAGATATTTATGACCCACCTTGATTTGATAACTAATTCCATCTCAAAAGTAATTAATGTAAGATTAAGTTTAAAAAATTAGACTAAATGAAATATTCTTGTTAACCTATCTCATGGATATACATTACTTGTAATTCTCTTTAAACAATGATGATAACTCATTAAAGATAAATTACATTAACATCCGAATATGCACTGTGTACATCCTAGTTAGTGATTATCTTTGCTTGCATGCAAAAAATGAACATATATTTTTCTTTTAAGGCCATTGTAAGGACCCTACTAAAGGGGCCACTAGACAGCGAAAGACAGGGAAACCCCTCTAATTTTCAACCGTCTAAGGGATAAGTTTTTTGTTAGGTACTGACTTTTTCCTTTGCCTTTTTCTATTTATTGTGTTAGGAAATCTTTGGGGGTCCTAAAAGTATAAGTGGTCCTTTCTGCTATGCAAGTGTGATTGCTACCACCAAAGTTAGAACGGCCTTATATTTCCTTACCTTTTTATTTGATTTTGAAGCTATTAACTCATTGCTTCTCAAAACAATTAATACAGTCCATAGGAAAGTATCGTTGTTTATTTTCATTGAAAAAAAACGTTGAGATCTGCGTAAGAAATCATTGAACTTGAGCACAAAAGTTAACACATAAAAAATTAGAGTTTGAACCGAATAGAAATTTGAATTGAAACGAGTAGAAACTAGACCCGTCTCAATTCAGCTCTAGTTCTATCATAAACCCATGCATTGACCTTTCTGAATTAGATAAAGAAATAGGCCTCTTTGTCATGTCTCACGAGTGCCAGTTGTGAAGTCGATTAACACAAAAAATTATCTACTACAACGACAAACGAAGTCCAAGTTGTAGCTGTAGGGTACCTAGATTCCTTAATAATTTGCAAGCACTATGAAGCAAGCATGTGGAATTTGTCTTGAGAATTGATATACAGCCATGCAGGATAAAAGTCCATGCTTCATCATCTCAGAGTGTCCGTGGGTTTTTTAATCTTGAAATTCTTAATATATGTGATTCTCCCACCAGATTCAATTACATATTACAGGCTCATACTTTGTTGCAATAAACTAAGATGTATCCTTTGGCTATCCTCCAATTCAACACAAGTTATAATTAATAGTATTAAAATTAACATTAAATGCCAATCTAAATGCATTGGAAATTCCTAAAAGTATCAAAGCTAAAAGACAAAGAGATGGGGTAAAATAATAAGAAGCAACCATGTATATACATAAGTAATGAGCAGTGTAATATTATCTTCCACTGGGTGATGCCTGCGGGTGCTGTATCGTTGTCTAAGTCATAGGCAGAAGTGGCCCACTTCATGCTGGTGCACCAATTGGGCTGTCTTTCGTTCACTATTCTCTGGAAGAAATCTGTTGAAAAGATTTTTTTTTATTCGATCTAATCTAAATTATTAAAATTCTTTTACATATATAAGAATTTAAATCTAAAATCTTACTTAACTAATATCATTTTGCGTAATA